ATGCAGAATGCATACCAGTTGCAAAGGTCAAAGCATTTTCTTAATCTATTTCTTCTCATCTCCATTACAACTATCGTACTCCAAATCACCATCATCTTGCATGCCAGATCAAGCAAGTTCCTGTATGCTATTCTAGGCTATGTAATGAATATTCATTGACATTGTTAAAACAGTGAATTAACTTAATTTAATTTATATTTTAGATCGTTAGGGGAACATCATCATTTAAAAGTTGAGTAGATGGGGAACAAACAGAAAATAAAAAGAGAGTAACTGATGAATTGCAAATGATATCTTGAGAAGATGGTGTTATAAAAGTCAAGAAAGAAGAGTTTTTCATGGAAGAAACAATAGTTTCTTTTTTCAGATTCTTTCCAGAAGTTATAAAAGGCAAGGTTAGAAAAGTGGGTCTTGTATTTGACACTATATGTCTTAGACATGAGCCATTTTGATGGAATAATGGGTGGGTGTCGAAGTCTGATGGAACATGGGGAAGAAACGAAAACATGTGTGCATGAGTCTTAAAAAGTTTGGTGAATATGATTTCACTTATATGTGGAATCTAAAAAACAAAATAAATGGACAAATAAAACAGAAACAAACTCAATATACAGAGAACATTTTGATGGTTGTCAGATGGGAGGGGGGCTGGGAGATGGATAAAGAGGGGAAGGGATTAAGATGTAGAAATTGCCAGTAATAACAACCATCATAGGCATATAAAGTACAACATAGGGAACAGTCAATAATATTGTAATAACTATGTATGGTGTCAGATGGGTATTAGATTTACTGGGGTGATCATTTCATAAGTTATAAATGTCTAATTACTATGTTGCACACCTGAAACTGATATAATATTGTATGTCAAGAGTAATTTTAAAAAAATTAAAAATAAACTAAATTAAAATGTGTAGGAAAGGCAAAACAAAAAAAAAAGAATTTTGGTGAACAAAGAAAAATTGAGGCTGCAGGTACAGGGAAGGGTGCTGATGGAAAAGTTCCAAGAGGTGTTAGATAGATAGATAGATAGATAGATAGATAGATAGATAATAGATAAATAGATAGAATAAGGAAGAGATTATTAGGGAAGGAGCAAAGTCCTTGAGCATAAATAGGGATTGTCTTTTTATATGAGTAGGACTCTAACCCCATTGTAATAGGCAGGGGAGAAGATGGCTTCACATGCAGGTGCATGTGTAGGTTTGGCAGAAGAAGATGAATGGGTTTGAGATCAATGACATATTTTCTCAGTAAACAATAGGATTGGATCACCAACTATGAATGAGTCAGGATGAGGAGGTGTGGGAGGTTTGAGGACAGAGAAGGTATGGAATAGTTATATGGTAGTTATGTGGTATAATGAGATGGAATGTCTATCAGCAAAGCAGAGAGCATTGGAAACATTTGATACTACTCTGAGACTTGAGTTTGAGTATTTAAAATGAAAAATATCAGCTCACTTGAATCATTTATTTAGCTGTTTTTGTGCAGACAGAGATAGAGGGTGAATGATTTGGGATATGAAAAGTGCAAGGGGGTCAAAGGTATTCACCAAGAGGTGACTATATGAAGCTAGATTAGACAAGGAGGGAAGCGAAGCTGACAGATAGTGAGAAAGTGGTGGGAGTTCAAAAAACGGAAGCTCTGATGAAGGGGAGGAATTGCAACAATTGGAATACTTAAGCAAGTGAGTTGGAACGATAAGGAGGAAGTGAAACTGAGACATCCAAGGTACTGCCATGCTTGGTTATGACAAAGAAAAGGGTGGCTAAGGAGGAGCGTGGACAATGGGGGTCTAGGAACTAAGAATCTGAGGTGTCAAGTGCCTCATCTATGTGGTCATTTAAGTTACTGTGAACACCCTTAGTAGTTGGAAAAATCAGAAAACATTGTGGGTCAAATATGGGTCTTTGGTAAAAGTGGGGACATAATTAAGAAGTCAGTAAAATGTTGCAAAGAGAATAGAGGGAGGAGGATATAAGCAAAACACATATACCTGAAAAGGGTAAGGTTTTCTGCAAGATGAAGATGAAAATGGTCTGAAAAGGGCATTGGAGAACAAAAAGGAGATGCACCCCAATAAAAATGAAAGGATATGATTTTAAAAGCAAATGAGAAGAAAAGCCATTTAAAAATAAACAAAAATAAAAAAATAGAATATGAAAGAGAATAAGGTAAAAGCATAAAGATGCTAAAAGTATGAAATAAAAGTTTAACATGTAAGCTATTTATAATTTACTTATTTGTTCAGGGATGCTAAAGACTGTGCCCTGACATTACTAATTACTAAGCAACACTCCAGAGAGCAGGCTCCTCAGGAAATATGGAGAAAAAAAAAAAAAAGCAAGGAAGTAGAAAGTGAAAATAATTTTTTTTTTAAGATTTTATTGGGGAGTTGGGGGAGGGGAACAGATAAGTTGCTGTCCTTTTGTTCTTCAGTCTAGTTGTGGAGGACGTCGCTTCACTGGCCTATGTTGGTATTGTGATCATTGCACTCTTCCCGGCTGAGGCAGATTGGTCACCGGCCATTGGACTGACGCTCATGGTGGCTCAAGGCAGCTCACACCAGCTGCCAGCCACTCATGCAGGCTGCTGGTAGCTTACGGCAGCCCACTGCAGTCCCACTGCAGCTTATACCATCACCGGCGACTCACAGCAGCCCAGCTCCAGGTCGAGCTGTCATTCACCATCTTAGCTGTAGAGGGCACAGCATCACTGGCCCTCATGTGGGATCCAAACTGGGGCCCTGCTGCTCAGAGCTGGCATTCCAAGCCAACTCTTAACCAATGTGCCACTTGGCCAGCCAGAAAATAAATTTTAATAGTATGGAAATAAAAAAAAAATTCTTCCCTTACGTGGGCTGACAACGATAACTAGATTTGATAACTTCTAATTATTTTTATAGTCTAAAACCCAGCTCCCCTTAAAATTCAGAAAAGATAATGAAAGCATATATGTATATATGCTTTTATTTTATTTTTTTTAAGAGAAAGCTTATAAGAGTTTATTTGAGCCAAACTGATGACAAATGCTAGGAAGCAAAATCTCAGCAGATTGAGAAAATGCTCCAAGGAAAGCATATTAATAATTTTATTGTTATAAACATAGCTCTTTGGAAATCACAAACCAATCTAAAATAGCCACCAATTGATCAGACAAGGAACTAACACCCAAATAATCCAAAAGTTTTGTACTAAAGCTTGAAGGAAAGCATCTTGTCACCAAAGATGAATATCAGAGTTTAAAAATGCTTGCAAAATAGCAAAAGAAAAATAAGTTAGACTAAGTACAGCTTGATGATACAGTGTTTAGTAATTCCAATATAACTAAATGGGGCTCCATAGACAATTAAAAAATAGATTGTTTATTATTTTGAAATTATTTGATGGATAATAGGCTAATCCATTCATGCTTTTGTCCTAACATAAATGGAATAATCTAGAACTAGAAGACATATTCTATTATATGGGTACTAGTAATCTATGTGGACTGTTGTATTCCAGTGTAATGTGAAAGTCTTAAAAATACTAGAAATCCCCAAAAGGTTGGAGTTTATTTAATAGGCCTGAGAAAATGTGGAAATACATTTAGAAGTTTGTTTTGGGTTTTAAATGTCTTCCCCAAGTAGCTATGGCCATTTTAGCCGATGATTATAACACCCTTATCCTCCTACTAAAGTCAAAGAATGTCCTACTATTTGTTATAGACTGGCTGACACTCAAATGTTGGTATAAATTCAGAAATGAATTGTGTATATAATTTAAAACATCCAGTCAGAGTGAATTTTTTGAAGCTATGTAGTTAAAGTTCTGTCAGAACATTACATTGAATGATGATTATGAGGCTAAAAACTTAAGCATGAATGTAGAACAGATGTTCAGAAGGGCTATACATAACCCCAAATGAATAGTTTTTTTCTATAAACTTCTCAGTGCAAATACAATTACATCAACAACATGGAAGTTAATAATATGTAGCAGATATTTCTGAAATTCAATGTGAAAATTAGCATAAGATGGTATTTGGTTGATATGATATAATAAATTATTCATAATGCACTAATTTTTACCCCCAAAGACTACTATCACTTTAGAAAGTCAGGTGCTTTATAAACATTAAACACTGTTTTCAAACTATGTATACATAACATTTAAATCACTATTTCTTCCTTCTCTTTTGTTGAGAGCAAGTTGTTCTGAAATTCAGCTTGCAATGTGGATTTGAATGATAACTATTTACTTATAAAATAATTTCCATTTCTTTTCTTAGGTCTGTGGAACAGCTTAAGGTCTATAAATCAAAGCATCTAAAAGGAAGAATTAAATTTTCCCCAAAGGCTGTTAATTGAAAAATAACATGTATTTAAATGACTGTTAGAATGGTTGATGTCTTTAAAAGGTAATTTTAAAACTTAGGAATACAAAGTTAGAATATCAGTGTGTAATCCAAAAGCAAAGAAACAAAGAAACAAACAAACAAACAAAAAACCCAACAAAAATAACACACCAAAACAAAAAGCAATTTGATTTGAAAGTGTCTTTCTAGAAAGGTTGATGACTAATGCTGCCATTTTTTTCTTATATCTCCCATGGTTTAATGTAACTAATGAATCCTAATAACAACAGTTATTAAAGACGGTCACTCTGGCATTTGTTAGACAACCTAAAAAGTCTATCTGGAAGATACCAGGAGTCTTAAGAAAACACTTTTGATGATGTGTCATATCAAAGTGACAAGTAAGTTACTTGTGGTTAGATACCATTCCCTTTCATTAATTAATTAACTAGTAATTAATTAATAATTACTTTTAGTTCTTCAAACTCCTGGAACCAAGCATACGTAAGTATATTTCAATAAATACCTTATGATTTTATTTCTGAAAAGGTTACCCATCATTAACGTAACCCCTGAAATGGGAGGAAGGAAGAAAAGAAAGACGGCCTGTGAATGACTTTATTTACACCTCTGCATTTTGGCATGCTACAGAATATCACAATTTTACATAGTCTATAGAGTTAAAGTAAGAAGTATATTGTGGCTTTGAAAATATTGACATCATCTGCTAACATAGAGCAAAATTGCTCTAGGCAAGTAATTCACTGCCTAGCCCCCATCTGACAAGCGTTGGACGTTGAAAAACTATTCTTTGATCTTGTAAGACCCTAGGAAATTTGAGTAATTGGGGATAATACTCCTTAAAAGATTTTGTCATGTTCAGTTTTACTTTAGTGAGCTCGTATTAATACTAAATTTAGAAAAGAGAAAAAACACCCCTTTATCATGCAAACGTAAATTTACCTCTGGCTGAGGATGCTTTGATTCTATTTAGAGATTTTTAACCAAATAATACCAGATAACAAACACACAGAAATGACATACCATAAATAGTACATTACTAAATTTTGAAGCTAGAAAAATATATTGTACTATATACTTTGGAATCTACAAATTGGAGCATATATAAGCCAAGAGCTTATTGACAAATCAAATCAGGAATGTAAAATGTATGCTCATGAGAAAATTCAGTTGGGAGTGGGATAGAATAAGGAAATGGGGTTATCTAGTGCAATTTCATTCATGTTAACATAATATCATCAACTCTGTTAAAAGTTCCTATTGATCCCTTCCAATCAGCAGCAGAGGGTTGTTTTAAAAAGTACTGAACTTAAGTAACAGTACAGTATTACTTTACTGAACAATTCTAACTTTCCCCATTAAACATTTTACATTTTCTAAAATCTTTTTTTTTTTTTTAGATCCCCTTTAAAACATTTCCCAAAGCTTAACAATACTGCAGGCTTCAATTCACAGCTCAGCTTAAGTAAATTATTTTAACTTGAGAGATATGTAATAAAGAGCTGAATATAAGTCAATAACACTTACTAGAAACACAATCTGAAAGTACAATGCACTTCCCATCCACTTCCTTGAAAGGTAATCAATCTACCTCTAGGGAGGACAACCATGTCAGTTGCTAGTTGCTTCAATCTGAGAAGTACACTTGGCAGGTTTTCCTTTATTAAGACTAGAGTCAGAGTGGTAAAGGGAAAAATGAGTGTGATATGCTGCAACCTTACCCATATGCAATATTAATCAATACTGCATCTACACTAAACAGAAGCTAGAAGCAGAAAAGACCTTGACTCCATAGGAATTGTAGCTGCAGCCCCATCTCAAGATTCAGGCTCAGACGATGCCAGGTTATCCTAAATGGATCTCACCCTGTTGCCACTCATATGGAATTTCTCTCCTAGGAACCATTTCCTAATTTAAGATTTATTTTACCTTTTGCAGTGATTAAGGGAGGAGAGCTTGGTGGCTTGTGGACCTGGCTATGTAACCAGATTTTTTTTTCTTTAATGGTTAACCTTGGTCGGAATATGTGGTTGGATTTTTATTTACATTATCTGTGAAACTGACAGGGCATTTGTCGCAGGTTTCAAATTCTTCCCACATACATGAACACATATTGCATGCTGAGTGCTTTTGAAATATTGCCTGAGCAAATCAAAACAGCAAAGGAAATTATGCCAATTGCCGTCTTAAGGCCAGTGCTTTTACATTACCGAGTTTTACTTCTTCCACGTGCTGGAGATGCTCTACAGGCCACACAGAAACAAAGAAGACCCTACAGGCCTTACTTATAGGCACCAAGAAAAGCCTGTCTTAAGTTTTAGTTCACTGTCAGGATTCCATTAGTATTAATATAAGAAAAACGTTTACAAATGCTAGGGAGAGTTCTTGCCCAGCAGCACTGTTTCCACTTATTTTTCTCATGTGGCTTCTCACCTTGCTCCACAATTACCTTAGCGCCTAGTTGTACATCATAAATCATATTGTTAGCTGTTTGGTTGGTGAGAACCGAACCGAAATCACAAGTACCGAGAAAAACTGTGCTGGAGTCCTGGTTACTTAGTATACTGTACTGTATTATACTTGGTGATTCGACTCCGGGTTGCACTAGGGGAGACGGACTCAAGGGTCTGGCCAAAGTGATAGTCAGAGGAGCCCCTCATATGACCAATGGTGGCTGTTCCCCCCATGCCACTACTCAGGCCCATGCCTCTTCCTAGATTGCTCAGCCCGATGCCGCCACCACTGACTCCAGCGGCACTGCCAATCAAACCACTACTGACTGTGCCACTGCCTCCAATTATCCCAGCTGGGCCACTAATGCCAGTTATGCCAGAGCCAGAAACAACCCTCTCTGTCACAATCACATTGTGGGCATTTGATAACTCGGGATGCATACTCAGGCTGCCCATCATGCCAGAAGTTGGTCGAATTACTCTTTCTGTGACTACCACATTTGAAGACTCTCTGGGATCAGGGATGGTCAAAGTAGTGGGTAGACTTGAATTTGGTGCTATAACCCTTTCTGTCACTATAATGTTTGACCCATCTCTCAAGTCAGGCATCTCTAACATTCCATGAAAGTCAGCGCCAGAGATTGGGCCAACCACCCTCTCTGTCACCACCACGTTTGAGGCATGTCGATTATCATGAACATGGACAGAGGGCTTCAGAGTGCCAGAGGTGGCGTAAGACTCAGTTACAGTGACATTACCATAGCCCACAGGATCAGGAATAGGCATAGGATGTTGTACACCAGGTCCTGAGGGGTAGGCATTCTCAGAAATGACTGTGGTAGTGCCGTAACGTGAGGAGATGGGTGGGCGTCCGCCAGCAGGAGGCTCTGTTCCCTGCTGAGGGCAAATCGGTTCAGCGCTGTCAGGTGGCCAAGAGGGGTCAAAGTCTGGGTAGGGTTCAGCTTCCTTTCCCAGGCTGATATCTGCCAACTTCTTAAATTTAGGCCCCAGTGTATCCAAGAAGCTGTCATCAAAGTCTTCTCCAATGAAGCTACAACAACCCACAGAGCCAGCGGAGGAACCTACACCTTCAATATCATATATGAGCAAACAGTCATTGGATGGACGTCCTTCATCTTCATCTGCATAAGCATATGCTTTCTGAATTTGTAGAGGAAAAAGAAAATGAAATTCTGAATACATATTAACAATAATAGAAGTCTTTATCATGTGTTCTTCCAGGGCATTAC